CTCCAAGCCCATACTTGAAAGCCTTGATGCTAAACTTCTTGTGAAAGTTCTGCATGGCTAACATGGGAGCGGTAACAAGCTTTTTGAAAACTTAAGTAGCACTTTCGGTCTAACCATAACAATCTTTCTTGAGTTGAAAAGTTAGAGTGCAAGCAATTTGAGCATATTGGGCCGCAAACTTCCTATAGTATCTCATCTTACATATGTAGTACAAGATTAATATCATGATATCTAATTCAGGTACTTTGTATCTAATGTATTAACATTATAATTTATAACTTAAATATCCAAGTTTTTTTTAACAATAAATAAATATCCAATCTTAAATACGTAGTACTAGATTTCTAGAAAAAAAATTCGTTAAACAAAGATTAGTTAAATTAAAAAATTTGAAGTTAGGCGAGTCCACTTTCTTTCCCAAGGGTCCGACCCGAATTCCGTGTCTACACTCGGGTCGCGTTGTGTCGACACTGGTATGGTTGCATCCCAAGTTGAACAAACCGACAACGGAATATAGCGATACACCAATTTTTGGCTTACTCGACTCCTCTTCATTCCCTTCCACCGACTCCTCATGCCCTTCGTGGTCCTCTTCACCGGCAACCATTAGAAAACTAAGCTCATTCCTTTTGCTCCTATGCACCACTCCCCGTCTTTCATCACATTTAAAATTGAGTCCCTTCGCTCTTTTTTCTTGGAATTCAGTTAAACGCCTTGTTTCACCATTCTTGTTGGAAATACTAGAATTGGGCTTCCCCATATTAACCAACCCTTTAGATTCCGATGGTTTGAGCCAAGTTTGACTTGGGCCTCTTAAGTTAGTGTGAGGAAGCCTATAAGTATTTATCAAGCCCAATCCATTTCCTTTGCCTCCTTGACTAGTTGGACCTGTAACTCCAAATTCGAACCTACATTTAAAAGGCCCAGCTCCTCCCCCCTTGGTCTGGTTGAGTCGTTTACGTTCCTTGACCCCGACACACCAGGTCCATCTAATTTGAATGGTTATAAAAGCCTTAGCTCAGCTTTAATATCCTCTCTTAGACCATTGATGAACTGGCTAAGTATCAAGCTCTCGGCCTCCAATGGCGTCGACATCTCAATAAATCGCCTCCTATATTCCTCCACCGTCCACATTGCCAACCACTGCTTATGCAGTAAGCCCGTATTTGCATTTGAGGGTACAATCGCATATTTGCATTTGAGGGTACAATCGCATTGAGAACTCTCCTCCGTAGGTTCAGCCACCCTACAAATGACCACCGCTTGTGATCCCACTGGAACCACTTGAGCGCCAGCCTATCCATCGACATCACCAACACTTCAAACTTTTCTCCCTCTATTAGTTGATAGAAGTCGAAATACATTTTCTCTCTTACTATCTTGTTATTAGGGTTAGTGCTTTTAAACAACGACATCTTAAATTTGCGGTGCTTCCAATGACCTCCTCCCGCACCACCTTCCCCATAGCCGCCATTGAAATCTCCACTTTCCACACTCGTGGCTAGAACTTCCCCATGTTCTCTCTCGGTGCGACATTATCCTTCGCACCACTCCATTCGACTAACTGTTCTCCTCTTCGAGATTGACCACAAAAGTCTTTGACTAAGCTATAACCCTTTACCCAAGGCCTTCAATTCCCCCTCCTGTCAATGGTGGCTTGGCTTACCACTCGTGGTGCTCTCGTAAATGGTCTATTCGGCCCTCCAACCTCATGACACGGTCTTCCTCTGTCTTTTTCTCCGCCTCCATGAGGGTGGTGATTTGTTGTTGGATGGTATGCTGATAAAGGGATAAATAGGTAGTTACTATTCACCCTAAACCAAATCATATCTATTTCCCGAACAAACCTAGAACGAGCCTATGGCAAGTAAAGGGGTCGAACCACAAGGAGAGGCTAATACCACAAAACACTATCAATAATTAAGCTAACTAGGAAATTTAATGAGAGGATTAAACACTAAGAAAACTACGAATAATTGAAGGGAAAATCAAATAGGAAAAAAACTAAGGAAATGAGTCAAGCAAAGCTATCATTTAAGTAATGGCGAGGGATGAAAAATGGGAAGGGAAAGAGAACTAATTTAAACTACTCACGATCGATGATAAAAAGCGCAATCTATCCTCTTATTGGAGCCAATTGCTTTCTCATACATACACAATTACACTATCGTCATAATCAAGCATGAAATGAGGTAAATACAGACCAAATCGTCTAATGAGCCTCACTTAATCACACTATTGTCATGATTAAGTTCACCCAATTACAACAATTGATTGGCTACTCGAGATATAATTGGAAGACCATGAAAAGCAAAGATATTAATCACAAACAAACCCTAATCCTTACCCTTAACATGCCCAAGATCTAAGCTAAGCCATTACCATCCCCTTAGTTAAAGTGCTACTCACTAAACATGGTAAACATCATGCCAATCAACAAATTAACAAAGCTAAACATGATTAAGATCTAAATATGGAGATTAACTAGTAATTAGAAAGACTAGGGAAATTGAAATTGCATAAAAGTATTATAAGGAAGAGAAAAGAGCGAAAGAGATTACTAAGAAAGCTTCATTAATCTTCAAAAGTGTTGAAATTGATTACAAAATCATCCCAAAAATATTTAACTAAGTGTTTCTCTCTCTAAAATATTAAGCTAATGATCTAAGATCTACCCTAATTAAGTGCTAATTACAAGAGAAGTACAACCCCCTATTTATAACATAATAGCCCGAGCATAAAAAATTTCCAGGTCATTAAGCTTGCGTGCGCAAGAAATGGTTAGCAGTGCGCGCAGGCAGTGGGTGCTGCGCGCGCAGATAATGGGTGCTGCCCGCGCAGCATATGTGGCTCAGCTCCTCAAGAGTTCTTCTTGGTTTTCTGTGTGCGGGCTGCGCTTGTGCAAATGACCCTGCGCGCGCAGTAGGCTCAGCTTAACTTTTCCAAAGTTCCTGCATCAGTTTCTGCGTGCGGGCTGCACTTGTGCAAATGGTCCTGTGCGCGCAGAAGCTGATGCTGTGCTGTGATGCTGCTATGCTGCTACTGCACTGCTGCTACTGTGCTGATGCCTTAGCATGAAGAGGAGAGTAAAGAAGATAGAGCATCAATGGAACAAAGAGATCATGGAGTGCATGCGCCGCTCCTCGAAAAGTACCTACACAGCCATAGTGAGATTGACAGTACAGGGGTATTGGAAGACCACATCAAATGAATCAAAAAATCGAGCATAAGCGTGCACTTTCATTTAGCAATAGCAAAGCAACCAACACAAGCATATTTGGGCTAAAAGATCACAAAAGGGCTTAAAACTAGGCAAGAAACCTACTCCTAGAGTGACATAAATGTCACTCATTATCTGCTGGGCAGTCTCCATGGCCTTATTAACTGCCTCGGATACTACCCCATTGATCAAACTCTCTTGCGTACCCAGCTTCCCTTTAATGTCCGCAAGCTTAGACTCCAACCCACCAACCTTCTCCTCCAACCCATCCAAGCGTTGCGTCTTGGACTTTGCCATGATTGTATGGCTCTGGTACCAACTTTGTAATAGACTAAAACAATCAAGAGTAATTTGTATTGAATCACAAAGAAAAAGAGGAAAGCAGGATGTTTAATTGATTGATTGAACGTTAAAAGAACATAAGTTGGTGGCATGGCTTGAGGCCACTACTCTTCACTGGGCAACTTTAGGTTGCTACTCCACATATATTCCATAAAATTCTCACATAATCCTGTTGCATTTGCTAGGATTATACACACACACACACACACACACACACACACACACACTAAGGCACCAAACATCCCTACACATAACCTAGATTCCCATTAATTCAGTTTGTCCTGTTTTGACTGAAGTATCAAGCAATAGAATCAGGTTTTTGCTACCCCACTAGTTGAACATTAAACTCCTTTGTCTGTTCTGCCATCTGTTGCTGCTCTGGACTGCTGTTGTTGTTACTCTTCCTTCTCCTTGCATACACCTTTTGTGGTGGTGGCTGGCCCTTGACAGATGTGTGGTTTTATGATCCATAGCCCCATTTGGGTGGTCCAATGAATGGTTTTGATCATTGACTCTCTATGAAAATTCTCGATGCATGCCTTAGAGACCTTAATAGATGCAATGTAAAAGTAGCAAAGTTGAGTGGCTTTTGCTTACTATATCCGACTTTGTAGGTCACTTGGTTGGATGGTATTTTGGAATGACTTGATAGATACATTATTAATTTTGAAAGTTTTGTCTTGTTGCTCATAAAATAGCCCAAAATGGGTGGTTCTTTTAGGACCTGTGGAGCACCATATATGAAAGATTTTGAGAATTCATGAGAGCTGCTCAATAATGATTTGTTGGTTGTTTCATAATTATGTATCTCATAGTTACTCAAGCTCTAACATATACTTGATGTCATGTTCTTGCAATAATAATCTAAAGCTCAATCCTTTGAATACTCTAGTTTCATTAAGCTCCCCATTGCATTACGTCTTAGTTCAATTCTTTGGATATCAGCAGTAATGTACCAATCTTTTCTAATTCCTAGATCTCTTGTTTGGCTGACAGTAATAGTTCATGGAGAGTACTTTTTACGTTCTTTTGTTTTCCTTTTTTGAAGCAAATGAATAGGCTTATATTATTCTAGCATCACAATTCAAAGATTTAAAGTCCTATTTACACAAAAACAACCCCTGAAAGGAGAATCCCAACCTTTGAGTTCACGGTGTAGAATTTTAAGGTGTCGTATTAACATGGGGAGGTGTTCATCATTACAAGCCCTGCATTATTAAGGCGAAAAAAAGGTCTTGAGATTGTTAATCTGTGTTGCAATTCTGTAAAGTATTCTTTGTCATCAATATATGATTAATATAGGTTTGAACAGTTAGTTTTACCATCATTTTTGTATTATTCTTCTCTATGCTAAGACTTTTGGTAAATTATGATCATTATTATACTATTTCTGTTTGCATCTTGTCCTTCAAAATTTTAATTTCTGCTAATATTTCAGGGTGCACTTCCTCAAATCTTTGAGAACACAAACGAGGAATTTTTCACCAAAATAAAACAGATACTACGCCAAGGTGCAGACTCTTGCTATGAGAAAGTTAAGGAGATTCCTTGTATTACTTGCCCAAGTAAGCCAGAAGGTTCCATGTTTGTTATGGTGAGACATTATTTACAAAAGTCCTTTGTTAATATTGACTTTACTCCGAATCTTACTATCTTAGCATTAACTTAGTTATAATGACACTTTACAGGTGAAACTCGATTTGTCAGTGTTAAGTGATATACAAGATGACATTGATTTTTGCATGAAGCTTGCTAAAGAGGAGAATATGGCAATTTTACCAGGTATGCTTCAATTTGACAAGTTCACGTCTACTCAAAAGATTATGAGGAAGATGTACAGGCAATAGATTTACGAGTTATCTATCTCTTTATCGTGGATCTTTTAGTTGTGATTAATGCTCCCTCTTCTTTTGCTGGAACAGGTTCTGCTGTAGGCATGAAAAATTATTTACGCATAACGTTCGCTGTTGAGCCATTGACTCTTGAAGAAGGGATTGAAAGAATAAAAGCCTTCTGTCTAAGGCATACAAAATGACCATAATACTGCTTCATGTATTCAGTATAAGACCGTCATTCTTGTAAGAATAAACCCAATTTGCTGCAACTATATGCAAAGTGCTGGAATATTTTGGTGATTACATTATACTACCTCCGTTAAATGTTATGTGCAACTTTTGTCAAAAACGGATGATCAAGGTTTTGTGCAACTTTCAATTTTTTTTCCATTCTTAGTAAACAAAAATGCTTGAAATTACTTATTTACCCTTACTTAAAAAATCTAATTTTCTTAATTTTGCCCTCATCTTTTTTTTTTTTTAATCTCATTAACCTAAACCTAATCCGATTTCACTAATCTAATGATTCCCTCCATATATCATCCCATTTCCCCCCAACTACCCTCATTTACTCATCTTCCCAACCACCCAAAATTAATTGCGATGGCTGGGTTTCTCTTTTTCTTCTGGAGAATTCTCCATATGAACCCTAGTTCATGTTCTTCCGCTTTCTATCTCCTCTTCATCCTTCATTATCTCCAATCTCTCTCTTCAGATTTGTCGTTGATTCTTCAGATCTTTGACAAATCGAGTCCCCCAACAACATAATTAACCTTGAACCCCTCCACGATGATGAAGGTGAGGGTAATTTGATTCTTTCTCTCATTCAATCAATTGAGACCAACTCTCCTTTTCCTCGTCAATTCTATGAGTCTAGTGAGTCTGGTCCCTACTGCACTTCCACGACTTACAAGGCGTTGGGAAAGGTTCTTGAGAGCGTTGATGAGGAGGAGCAATTGAGGAGGGCTGAGGGTCAGGGTGAGTCTCGGGGTAAGAAATCGCTTGATTTCACCGATGTAGTTGTAAATCTGGTTGGTGAAAGTGGTGAGGGGAGGGACCCTTAGGCCTAGCCCACCAAAAAGCCCTAATCTAAGGGGGCTAGGCCTCCTACTAAGATCTGGGCTAGAAGGAAGGCAGTGCTGGTGGCTCCAAGGCGGATTGTGGGCTGCCTGATAAGGAGGTTATTGAGCTTTTCTCTGATGATGAGCCTGAGAAGAAGGAGGGTTCATCACCTCCTTCAATGAAGGTTACCAGTAGTGTCCCTCCCCTTGAAGTTGGTGAAATTCAGGGCCCTTTTTTCAAGCACTATGTGAGGAGGATGAACCCTAAGGTTCAACCCTCTGAGTGACTGCTTGCGTAACGATCCCTAACCTAACTTCTTTCATTATTATTTTGAGTCCCTTTCCTATAATTTTTTTTTTATCATGAATGTTGGTTATTGATTGCCTATTGATAACTTGTTATTTGGCATGATTTTAGGGTACTTTTGAACCTTGTTTTCGTTATTAATCGACATCAAAGTTCATTTTTATCCTATTTTTATGCAAATTTTGTACCATCCATGCTTCACCGGTTGTTTTTGTTTTTGATATAATGTAGCTATTTTTAGCACTATGGACGTGATAAAGCATGAGTGAGAAAGGATAAGGGCAAGCTTGGTTGATAGAGCCATGGAGGAAGAAGGAGGAATGCCTTAAAGGGAAATGAAAAGCTTTTGGAGAACCTTGAAAGGTCGTTTGCGTAAGCGTCAACTTCAACCAACCATAACTTTTGATCTTATCAACCTTTTGAAGCGATTCAAAGTGGATATTAAAGTTCGTCTCAAGAGCTTTCCAACGACTGGTCACAAGTCCATTTCCGACATGAAACGTAGAAGTTACAGCTTCCCAAAGTTAAGCAGTCTAGGCAGGGCATCCTGCACGGACGTGCAAGATGATAGCACGTCCGTGCAAGTCTGCACGTCCGTGCCAAAAGCTGCACGTCCGCTGCAGTCGAACTCCTTCCTTGTTTTCTCCGTCCTTTTTATTTTGGGGGTCATATAAATACCCCTTTAGAGCTCATTTGTACGAGGGATGCAGTGTTTTAGAGCTTTCCTCTTAGTTTGTAGTCTTAGAACATTAAATTCTCAAATCATTAGTTAGTTCTCAATTATTAGCTTGGAAACATTCAAATTCAATCATTGTGGAAGACAAAATCCACCATTGTTGCTCACTTTGAAGCTTCATAGTAACCATTTCTTACTCATCTTTTCTACTTCTCTTTACTTTGTTGTTAATTATTTGCTAGTTCTTGCATGTTTTGGATTGTTAATTAGCTTAATCCTTAGTTTGAACTTGTTCATGAATTGCTTGAAATCTTTAATTGCTTTAACCCCCATGGATTGTGAGTAGTCTAAATTCTAGGGTTTGGGCAAAACCCTCAATGTAGTCACTAATTACTTGTTGCATGTGCTAATTTGGTTGTTGTGGGATGTTAATTAGTTGAGCTTAAGTGGTTTAATTGCTTAGTTCTTGTATATGGCCATTGCTAGAACTATTTATCCAAGCTTTCTCAACGAAGGATCGAGAGATGAACTTGAGTTAGCTCCCTTATGCTTGATTGACCCGAAATGCCATGAGAATAGGGATTACCGGTCAAGGGAATGTTTATGTCATCGTGATTATGCTTTAACACTTGTTTTATGCTATGTAACCACGAGAGTAGGTTGTATTCATGATTCAAGTAATCCCTCTAGCTTGAGAGAGTAGTTGGGTGCTTTAGATGACTTCCCCTAATTTATCCCATTAATTTACCTTGATTGTTGCATGCTAATTGTGATTTGTGATGAAATTGAGTGGTATAACCCAAGCCCTAGATTCCTCTTAATATTGTTAATCTCCTCTTAGCTTTAGTTGAATTGAATTAGAAGAAGTTACTCAAAACCAACCCAATTTAGAATTCATTTAGCTTATTTAAACGGTAGTACTCGGTGGTTGATTCAACGCCTCTCTTGGGTTCGACCCTTTCTTACCCTTACTATTGTTAGTGAGACCAAGATAGGAATTATTATCTTTGGTAGGCTCGAGATGGGCCTATCACCTATATTTGCTATGCTTCCTTGGTGGTGTTGTTTGCTGTATGTGATGTTGATTATGAGTCCCTGTCCTTTGATTACTTTTCATCAGTGTTGTTTGCTTGTTAGATCTGTCTTCCTGCTTCTGGTAGCATGTTGGATCTTTGTTCCTGTTTCTGATTTTGTTGGAAATTGTTGGTAATTGTCAGTGCTTGTTGTTAGTTATTGTTGGGCCTTAGATGTTGGTTATTGTTGGAAATTATTGTTGGTTATTGTTGGAAAATATTGTTGGTTATTGCTGGAAATTGTTGTTTGCTATTGATGGACACTGTTGTTGGCTATTGTTGGAAAATATTGGTGGTTATTTGTGGAATTTGTTGTTTTCTATTGTTGGACATTGTTGTTGGCTATTGTTGGACATTATTGTTGTTGCATGCTACATCTTTTGGATTCATTGACTTGTGTTGATGATTTGGTGTTGGATTAATGAATTCTAGTACGTAGGTGGTACCTAGGGGAGTTTGATTGATGAATGATGAGGCTATTGTGTGCTTGATTTTGTGAGGTTGGACTGTTTGCACCTTAGAATATTCTCAATGATCATTTATGTAGAGAACATTGTTAGTCCCTTTATATTGTTACATTTGTTCATAAAGGAGTCCCAATGTTTTGTATTTTGATACACTCAAGTAGTGAGTTCCCCATTACATTGACTTGAGTGGTGTTTTCTAATCCAAATGATGAAGGGACTCCATTGAATTACACTTCAAATAAGAGTTTTGCTCCAACAATCCCTTTATTGAGATTATTGTTGAGGTAACCTTGTGATGAAGTGATGTATTCAACAATCATGCACTTTCTTCTGATGGATTTATTGGCCACACAACAAAAATCATTTTCATTCCAATCAAAATGTGGTTACAAATGGACCTTAACATGATCAAAAGAAGTTACATATGACTGCCTTAGACGTTTGGGTCATCCTAATAAACAAAATACACCTAACCACCTATTCATTCAGACAGAGTTAAAAAAAAGAAGATAAAAAGAGCTAAGTGGTTATGTGTGGCAGTCCAAGTTGTTCTTGTGTTGTGGTCTGGTCTGATGAGTCCCCTAGTCTGCATCTACCTCCATATCTTCTTCTGCATCTTGATTGCCTTGAGTTGTTGGCCTAAACATGGTGTTTAGGTACTCCACAGCCTCCATCACAACTTCCTTCTTCAACTCAACTTGATCTAGCATAATGCCAAAATTTTCAAGTTTCTTTTTGTTCATGTGGGGTATTTTGTACTTGTTCCCACCTTGTGCCTTGAGAATTTTTATCATACATCTTTGCAAAGTCACTCATATGTACTTGTTGACTTGAGGTTTGAATGTGTCATAAGACTCAATGACTTTCTCAACTATCTCATCTAGGTTGCTAGGAAAAGATTGATATTGCAAAGACTGAATTGACCTAAATAAGCCTAGATCCAACACATTCAAATCAAGTGACTGTGTTGGTTGGAATACAATTTGAATGTTGAACCCATTTGCTGTTGTTGCTGCAATGAACTCCTCATCTCTGGGAACTTGGTGAGGCCTTGCATTGTCCCATTGAATAACAACATTTTTGGGCAGACTTTCAGGCCATTTAGACACAATTGCTGGTATGACCTTAGTGAGTAACATCTCCCTAATAACCTCTCTGTTGACATTTTGGAGTGCCTTTGTAACTAATGTGCCCGCTGCTCTATTTTTTCTTGATTTCTTAGCTCTCTCTTTGATTGTGAATGGGAATATGCCATACTTCCCATCATGGAGTAGTTCCCCTTTTGTGTCATACAATGGCTTCCCAATGATTTCCATGAACATTTCCTTTAGCTTGAATCTTCTTGACTGTTGTTCCCTGTAGAGATCTTCCTCTTTAGGGAGGAGATAAAATCTCCTCTTATCAGGATTAAGATAGAACCATTTCTCATCAATGTGTATGACATGGTTCATGTCAACAAAAGTGGGGTCCTCATTTACGGTGACTGAGTTTATATGTGACAGAACCCATTTCATTCTAGCTACCTTGTGGTCTGATGTCAATGCTGGCTTGTTACTACTTGTGTGTATTCTCAGCCTTCCCTTTTTCTTCAAATTATGAAGAGTGACATGAGAAATCTTCAAGGCAGCTGCATAACTTTTTCTGTCTGCCTTAGATGTAGAGGGACTGACTGTAGGAACTCATCTGAAAATTCCCTTGGCTTTGGACCTGTTTTACCATACTTCTTAGTCCTGACATCAATCAAATTCCCCTGTGCCTTAATTTTTTTTAATGTCAGTGAATATTCTAGTGATTGTTGATTTGTGAACACTGAATTGAATTGGTAAAATCTTCTTGTGACCCTTTGGTAAGTTCCCATCTTGCATTTTCACCAACATTGCATCAACAATTTCCTTTTTTTTTTTTTTTTTTTTTTTTGTGTGCAAAGTGAGTGCTTCCGTTGAGTTTGTTGAGTGCCAACTTCATTGAATGCTTGCATGTCATGGTCTTCATCCTTTTCATGTGCAATGTGAACATCTTGTGTGCCTTGCTGCCCATTTTCTTCTTCTTCTTCTTCTTCTTCTTCTTGCATGTTTTCATTTTCTGTTTCATATGCCTTTAAATCTTCATCTTGCATTTCTTCTTGTTCATCATAGTAGATTTCTGCCATTGTGTTCCTCTGTTAGCATTTGATCAACATCAAAGAACAGAGCATCCGCCTTGTGTCTGAATTTTTTTTCCTCAGTTTAGGTGATGATATAGGGCTGGCTGTTGCTTGTTTTTTGGGGAGATGAAGCTGCCATAGGTGAATATATAGCTAATGTAGGTTGCTAGGTGATGAAGATGATGAAGATTGAAGATGTGCAACACTAATTTTAGTTTAGGAGAATTTTTTGGGTAAATATGGGCTAATCATGGGTAGTTAGTGCTAACTTTTGGGTAAACATTTCATCTTTTGGAATAATTCTGTTATGTAATTATTGGTGAAACATTGAATGCTTGTGGTATTTGGGGGCTGGTATTAATAAGCCTCATAAATGATGAATGCTTGGTTTAAATGCAAGCCAAAAATTTGAATGTATGTTGTTATTTTTTTATTTTTTATTTTTTATTTTTATAAAGAAGGAGGGAAATGAAAACCCACCCAAAAATTCAACCAATTCGAATTTTTGGTGAAAATTGGGAGGGAAAACAAGTCCCTCCTTAAAGTAGCAGATTTTCCCACCAATTTGCAAGTGGGCGGGTCCTACTCTCTCTCTTCTCTTCCTTTAATTGCTTTACAAAACTTTCCCTAATCTTTGCCCCTTAAGTTTTGCCTTGGTAACCGCAACCCCTCCAAAGTTGCACAAAATATTTAACGGAGGTAGTACATTAATTAAGCAACAGTAAAAACTTTTGGAATGTATTAGTTTCTTTTGAAATTTAGAAGTCGAAAAATTGTAGTTTCTTACTATCTATCATACTCCCTCTTTTATTTTTATTTATTTATTTTATTTATTTATTTATTTTTTTTAAGTGTTACACTTATTCAATTGTGTTTTTTAAGTGTTATACTTTTTTTTTTTTGACAAAAAGCTACTTTTAATATTATATTTTTCTCATCTCATGGTCTATATTCAAACCCACTATTATTTTTATTTTATTTTTTTAAAAAAATTCTCTCATATTACTTTTCAATAAAATATTAACTCCACTATATTTTTTTAAAATTTTTAATACTCCAATTATTGCATCACTTATCTCTTATTTTAGTTAAGACAATTAAATTGCCTAAAACTATGTGCCGGTCAAAGTGTAATATTTAAAAAAAAACATGGGGTGAGTAATAAATTAGTGTTTTATCTACCTGGAGCTCTCTATTGGCCTTGGATTGATCGGTTGAGGAATGATCTAATTAGGAAAAAAAAATAGGGGTGACGTTTATTGAATGCAAAATGAGAGAGAAACACCGGATTTAAGGTGGTTTGACCATTTAAAACGAAGACCAAGTGAAACTTCGATAAGGAGGCTTGAAGAAATGAAGAGTTGCAAAGTGATGGGATCTCGACTCTCAAGAGGTAGAGAAAGACCTAAGAAAAAAAGGCACTTGAAAGTGGGTGATTGAGAGTGATATGGGTATTTTGGGGGTTAAGAAACATATGGTGTACAATAGGACAAAACGGAAGGAGAAATTTCACGTAGAGAATTTGTCATAATTTAATATATGTATATTTTGTTGGGTTTCGTAGAGTCCGACCCTACGCGGAAGGGAAACCCACCCAAGACCCGCACACTAATTAAAGCAACTAAGCATGCAATCACTAATTAAACAACAATTAAGAGAGAGAAAGAAAAGACATTCTTACCCTAGTCGCGTGCTTCGCTCGAATCCCGAGCTCTTACTTGAACCCCACAAATGCAAGGTCTCCGACGGCTCGTACCCACGAATCCGGCCCGAACAATCCAAGTCCCGAAGGTTAGTCGGGACCCGACCAATAAAAACTAGAGTTTTACGAACTTAAGGTTTTCTCACTTTTCTAAGGAGATGCCTTTTTAGTTCCAATCAAGTGTTCTTCCCAAATCCCAAAACCTTGGTATTTATAGGGAAATGACCTTGAATTCCCATTCTCAATCAATGTGGGAGATTTGCAATTTTCCCTATTTTATTTTAATAAAAAACAAAATAAAATTGCAATGCAATCAATAAGTTACAAGTGGCAAGAGGAGGAGAGGGAGAAGGTGAGGAACACCAAGGGAGGGGACCAACCCACCTTGCTCCCCAAGGCAAAGACCAAGCTTTGGTCCTTACTCAAAAACCGTGAACTGGCCGGAACAGCTTGCTGCCAGCTAGCCTTAGCTGCCAAGGCAGCCTTGCTGGCGCCTGGCGCCTTGGCTGTGCTAGCAAGCCAGCTAGCACTCGCATGTGCACAGCTAGCAAGCTACGCACACCATGCGAGCTGCTGCTGTGGCATGGCATGTGCTGGGTGCTGCCTAGCAAGGCTGCTAGTGCAAGCCACTGCTATCCTCGCAAGATGCCCAGCCTAGCTCTCACACGCACAGTGCACATTTCTAGCAAGGCCCAGCCCTGCGATGCTGCGTGCTTGCGAGAGGGTGGCTGCTGGGTGCGCGCCACTGCCTAGCACCACGCACAACCTATCATGCTAAGCACGCTGCTATGCAATGCTCGGTGCGTGGCTGCGATGGCTGGACGCTGCTATTGCCTAGCACGCTAGCAAGGCTGCCAGCGCGTAGTACCACGCATAGCATAGCACTCCTAGCATGCTGCTATGCGATGGTGCGTGGCTGCGATGGCTAGGCGAGCAATGCTAGCCCATGCCTTGCGCCAGCGCTTAGCATGCAAGTAAGGCCTAGCCTTGCGATGCTTGGGCGCATGGCGTGCTAGCACACATGCAAGGTTGTGATGCTTGCGGTGGCTAGCTAGCATGCATGAGCCTAGCACGCCTAGCATGCTATACTTGCGATGGGTCTTTCCTAGACTAGCACTCACATGGCTAGGCCAATGCGAGGCTACGGCTAGGCTCGTACTTGTAACTTGATTGATTTCATGTCTCGTCGAATTCCAAACTCGACCCGACTTGCGACGCTCGATCTCGATGCTCTAAGCTCGATATTCGACGTCTTTGTTCGTAAAACTCCGACGACTCATCAAATCCTTCGGATTGATTCGTCGTATCGGATCGGTTGTTCGATGTCGCTTAATGTCTTTTCTTGAGCTATAAGGTAAGATTCTTCGTCTTCCTTATTATGTCCAGAAGTGTTTATTGATTTTCGAGTTCGACTGTCAATAAACAGATGATTTCTAAAATCCATCTGAGCACGGCCATGCATTTTCACAGTCTCGCTCATCGAGAGGCCTTGTAAACAGCAAAGACATATTCCCTATTGTTAATACGGGGACATTCCCAGTCTTGTACTGTAAGTTTCCCTTACTAAGAGGACCTAGTCGCCTGAGTGCTGCCGTTATAATCCTCATTTATGGTAGACGTTTGACAACATCAAAACGACTAGTACTCAAACAAGAGAACTTGCAATACTCATGGTCGAGGAAAAAGGTTCCGATAGCAATAATGAGAAATATACTTATGACGAGTTGATATCTCTTAAAGTATTCTCATAGGTCTATTCGGTATAGTTCCAAACTAGTACCTGTGCAAATGATTTATGACTTTCATGTCCTCGTAGCACAAGAAACGGTGCTATAAATCATACTACACACTAATCTCAAGTGGTCATTAATCGTCCATCGTTTAAATGACCTTGATTAGGGACAATTTTCGATTAAAATATTCAATGTTCACTTAACAGGTGTTTTTTTATCCAAGAAATGGTCTTGATACCCTGTTTTGAATATTCTCAAAAATTGAATGGACTCATTATTTAATTCTAAACCACAATTAAATAGATATGGAGTAATCATAAATTTGCAGAAAATTTAATTGCTCCAAAATTGAATGGTTCAACATAGTGTTTTACATTAAGACATCAAGTTTAATTAAAACATCTATACTGGGAAATCAAAGCCAATCTCCAATGTGCTTGATTCCCATTGCCTCAACGTGCTTGTTGTGCTTCACTTGAGACAAAGGTTTAGTCAGAGGATCGGTTACATTGTCGTCCGTTCCAATCTTACAAATTCTGATTTCACCTTCGGATTTCCATTCCCTTATCATGTGAAATCGCCGCTTGACATGTTTGACCTTCTGGTGTTCCCTTGGCTCCCTAGCCTGAGCAATAGCTCCTTGTTATCACAATAGAAGTCTATTGGACCCTTGATTGAGGGTACAACACTAAGTTCACCAATGAACTTACGAATCCAAACTGCCTCCTTAGCTGCTTCCAAAGCTGCCAAGTATTCGGCTTCAGTTGTAGAATCTGCAGTGGTGCTCTGCTTAGCACTCTTCCAACTAAACGCTCCTCCATTGAGGCAGAATATGTACTGACGAGGGTTAAATCGGTCGCTACAATCTAACTCTCAATCAAACAATACTTATACGAACACCCTATAACCAAGTACAATGGCAAATAAAGGTTCGGTCCACGAGGAACGAGAGTAATTGCAAATCAATCTTAAACCTAAGCTAGTTCGAAATCAATGGAAATTGGTGTTCTAAAATACTACTAATAAGATGGAATAAATCAATAAACTAAGACACTAGGGAGAACGGGAATTCACCAAACCATCGGTAACTACGCAACAAGGAATCACAGAGACAAACGGGATATGCAAAGACTATATGTCTGATCAATATCATGTGATAGGAAGACAACGGGCAATACTAAGCTTGGATTTCTCATGCACTTAACATTACTCGATACATAATCAAACCACATTCAATAATGAAATACTCAATTCACAATCTCTTGTTCAAATCAAGGATATCATGCAATCAAATTCAATATTCTAGGTTAGCTACTCCTATTATAATGAATTAACATGCAATCCTCAATTACATAGATTACCTAGGCCGGGTTTCATCCCGAAACCCTAGCTAGGAGACTACTCACACATATTCATAATCAAAGCAATAATGAATTCCAAAAGCATAATAGATATAAACATGAATTCTGATTAAGGAATAATAAAGCTTGATTAATAAACAAGAATGAATAATACCAATTGTATTGATGCGAATCAATGGAAAAGTTCAGAACTTTGATATCCGTTGTCAA